TGTGATGTAATCTATTTGTATTATTATTAATAAGTATTTTATTGTATAGCCTCTACCGGATGACATTCATTCAACTCATATACATGTCAGGTTATATTAACTCTGTTTCTTGATCGTGCATTAGAGAGGGCATAGATATAGTTCTTTATGTACATACAAATCGAGAAGAGTTATTGTTACGCGTTGTTTTAGCGTTACCATAAGCCTCAAGTACTGGATCTATATTGTAGAGGGAAATTCGTTAATCTAAATTTTAGACATAAACTGAAAACACTTGCTTGCTGAAACAATTTGATCTTGGGTTGAATTTTGAGCTTCTAACATGTTTCATTATTATTGTCGACAAAAAGGAGGATATAAACTATTTTTATCGAAGAATAAAGTGAATAGTTAAATCAGATTATGCCCGTCACACGATGTTGTGTTGAAGACGAAGATAGAAATTGGACTTATCTTATATACCAACAACCGTTCCTTCATTCAATCGCTCAGAACGTAATATAGATATAGTCAACAGCTTTAATGCGTAGATTGACGGTATGACTCGAAACAGAAACGCGGAGACCTTCACTACCGCAGCATATTCTTGAAAAGCTATAAATCCGATAGATGAACAGAGTGGGATTATTAGTTTTCGTCTTAATTTTTAATTACGAACTCCCGTGAAGTAGTCCGATCTCCGGACATAAGGAAAAAAGACAAGATGTTCGGAATGGAATTCCTAATGATAAAAATCAATGAAATATACCAGAAAACATAGTGTTCGGAATGAAATTTGTCCAAGAGTTGGTAAGAAACTCTGACAATTGCTTTTTAAAGGCTGGACAGCGAAGTTTTGCTGGAGATCGGAATGAGAATGTCCGGAATGAATGTCTTTTTGTCCTCTCTCTAACAACTAAGAACAAATATACCAAATAGTTTTAAGAAGTAAAACACAAAACTACAGTAGACTTTTTCTTATTCAATACAATCAATAATAACACGGACATGAAAATCGATCTAATAAGCACGAGACTTACCTTTGTGATCTTTGGATATAAACTGAATTTCTCTAAATTTGGTTCTTTCACAAGAAAATAACGATGTCATGAGTCGATTTGTCGTCCATGAGTTTTTCTGTATAACATTCCAAGACTAACACCATCTTTGTTGGTTTATTATTGATATCTTGTACAAATTTGATTAAATTTTCTAATGATACGTCAGATGCTATTCCGGGATAAACCTTTCGATAACAATCGTCATCCAATGCTGCCTGATCCATGTCATCTAAGAATGAAAGAAGAGAAAAACCAGTCGTTATCTTTGAGCCCTTGTCTTGCAGAAAGTCAAAATCTGCACAAGTTATGTAAAGATTCTGCTTCTTGAAATTCTTTGATCCAGATTTACTACGGGTAAATCTTGCCGCTCTTGTCTGATAGGAAACTGCCAAGGGGATTTTGTTTGGTTTTTCTTTTCCATATTTTTAGTTGTTCTAAGACAGCTACACGTACACGTTCTTTCTCATCTGAAAAAGATGAGAAACCTTTTAAAATTTTTTCGAATCGGCAGTTTTCTGCACAAATGTTTAAAACCGCTGGCCTCGGACACTTCCCATAAAGTAACCGGTGCGTGCCTAATGCAGAGTGGAAATGTTGGCCTTAAACCGTATGTTCTATAAAAAGACTTTTGTGTAATATGAAGAGAATTGTGTAAGGTATATGAAACGTTCAACCTGATTAGAATTTGACTGTTAATAATGACTCCAGCCTAATTATTTTGATAATTTTAATGAAAAATATGTGTTTAAAATCGACAATGTTCGTTGTGTGCACAGAAACCACTGAAAATATCTCACATGTGACGAAAGTGCGTTTTTCACAAAAAAGGATGGTGACGTAAGTTTCCATGAATTTCGCAGTGCCTTTTGTGGCTGTGACGAAAATTCACCTAACCTCACGAAAGTTCCGTCGAGTGTGACAAAAATGCCCTTGTTTTTAACGGTTTAAATCGATCACCGAATTTCATTCTACGATGAATCTTCGTGTAGCTAGAAAGTAAAGTTCTTTACACCCAAAATGAAAAACGTTTACTCGGAAATTTGAAGCTACAAATACAACACAAAAGTCGAACTTTGTCCCCGAACATATTGTGNACTTTGTCCCCGAACATATTGTGTCGCTTCTAAAGAGGTCTGCTAATCATCCCTTTGTGCTCAAGCATGATGATGTATATGAAAAGACGTTTCTCAAATTTGGCTATCGTGCAGCGAAAATGTGAATCTTCGCATCTTTTCGGTCAGAAAAACAGTGACATACCTTGATGTCTGGTACTTGTGGTTTAAATCTGGGAGCCAACATTGTTAAAACTTCTGAAATCAACGGAGTATGCTGTAATTCTTTACGTGCTTTCATTTATTCGAACAATAAATATAAAACACTACGTACAAGAGTAATAAACTTCATAACTTGAATTTATTTATTTGAGAGCTTTCAAACACTATATTGTGTTAATTATCAACCGAAAAGTGAAAAGTGCATGCAATTTTCTTAAATATGAACAGATTCTCTGAATTGATGATTGAGAGAAATACTAACCAATAACTGCTAAAAGAAGATCACTTTAGTGACGATAAATTTGAATTGACTTACAGTGCTGACATACTATTCATAGCTATCACCTAAAAAAAGTTCTTGGCTTATTTATTTTTAAATAATCACTCATTTGTCTTATAACTGTCTGTGCGGTCATTTTTATTTTTTTATTTCTGTTAATTGTTTATTATATATTTATTATAGCATACACTGATATTACCGCGAAGACTTATTTATATGAAAAGAAGACTAGATGAGCCTGGTATAGCATTTTGCATCATGTTTTGAAATCAGAGTGCGCTTATGTGATGAATAGTCATTGTGTGATAGAGTTACAGATATACAGTTCTGCATCACGAAAGTATGTTTTGTGCGAAACTACTTTACGAACGAACGAACTCCCACACTGCCCTTCTCCTCCCCGCCTCCCAAGACACGCTGCCAAAGATACCCAAATTCCCAGAAGAGTCGTTAAGGTCGGTTAGCGGAAAGGTTGTGTTACGATTTATACATCTATTATATAAGTATACATACCAGCTATCATTTGCCAATAGCGATTTAAGTAATTATTCTTTTTATAAACGAAAAACGGATATTAGCCCTAATCACGATGGTAGTGTTTGCAACAATTACCAACAGCTTTTTTAACTGTCGCATAGAGCTTATTACTTTCCATCTTTGATGGATGCGAAAAGGTGTGCGAGTTGATGACCATTGAAATACAGTATCCTGAAGATGACCAATGCACGGGACCCATTTTGGGATAATCGTTAATTAAGTGCATAAACTCTTAATAAATGGAAACACCTCATACAATACTTTTGCACTTACACAAATTGTGTTATTGATAGTTACTGAGGATGCTACTTTTTTTTGTAAATGAGTTGTTATTTATGTTAAATAAATAAATTAAAAGCCGCGATATAAGTTATCTCACACCTTTTTACACATATGTTTTATTTTTTTCTCTATAAGCAGGGAAATTATGACATGAACAGCCCACCACCCTGGATCTGACGCCAACGTACTGTCAAAAAGAAAAGAAAAAGAGAGTTGATCATGCCGAGTTTTCAGATAAGTCTGGTGTTCGACTAAGCCAAATAACGGTATGTGTCTCGTTCATTTGGTACACGTTCCAAATGTTGATCTTCGATCAATCGTCCAATACATAACTAAAATGAGAAGAAAAACATGGACAATAGAAAGAGATGAAGGCTTGCGAAGGTTAACTAGATTTGACAGCGTCTCTTGAAAGAAGCAATTCTAGAGCTAAAAAGTTCCAAATACGGTGAAAAACTTAAAACATTGGCGTCATCGAGTAAAACTTCAGTCAAATTTTGAAAATATACCATGCGTTTCATTGTCGAAAGCCTGTTTGGATGCTATTTGCCCTCTGGTGTGAAAAATGAAGTCAGAAAAGATAATTTGAAACTGTTTTCTTATTTTTCGGCTCGAAAACCTGCGCGCTATACGTCCGCAGACTATTGTATAAACTATTTTTGGGTCTTTTCTATATGAAAAATTGATCCCAAATATAGTTCAAAAGGTTGTTTTAATGTCAAAAACAGCTCCATTTGCATATTTCCCATAGATCATTCTAATTTTGAGGCTAAAAAGTAATAATCCCTTGATAAATTTTATAAGCTAAAAGAAGCTTTGTAAAACAGTTTTGCAAATCCATCAATATAAGGTGTATTTATTCTTAAAAAGATCAAACAATCGTATATAGAATTTGTTAACGTTTTCCGTCAAGCTTAGCACAATTAGAAGAATTTCGTTCTACGATGAATCTTCGTGTAGCTAGAAAGTAAAGTTCTTTACACCCAAAATGAAAAACGTTTACTCGGAAATTTGAAGCTACAAATACAACACAAAAGTCGAACTTTGTCCCCGAACATATTGTGTCGCTTCTAAAGAGGTCTGCTAATCATCCCTTTGTGCTCAAGCATGATGATGTATATGAAAAGACGTTTCTCAAATTTGGCTATCGTGCAGCGAAAATGTGAATCTTCGCATCTTTTCGGTCAGAAAAACAGTGACATACCTTGATGTCTGGTACTTGTGGTTTAAATCTGGGAGCCAACATTGTTAAAACTTCTGAAATCAACTGAGTATGCTGTAATTCTTTACGTGCTTTCATTATTCGAACAATCGCAGCCTATCAAACGAGAAATTCACCCACTGGCGCAAAAAACGGAGAGCACTGCTTACCTCAATAACAAATTTTCGATTGCTTTCAATAGCTTGATGAATATGTTCGGTTTCTTGTTTAACTTCTGATTTTAAAGATACATTCAAATTTATTCGAGTTTTATTGCTAAGAGAGTGATTAGTTGTTATCTCCCGTTAAGAGGCTGAGAAAGACTGAATTTACTTTGTAAAATTTGTATTTATTTTCAAAACACTTGCCATTTGTAAATCATTTTCTTCGCTTAATTGTTCTGGTGTAATTTCTGTACACTTCAAAACTTTTTGTTTTAATAATAGCCGAATAACAGATGTCAATGTTTCAAGTTTAATTTGCGTTTCATCATAAAGTTTTTCAATAGTTAATTCAGATGATTTATTAAACATGAGTAGAATAGTCATTTGATACGTTGAAACCTTGAAACGGACCATAGTTACCGTGAGAAAAAGCGACAGCTGAGACATGAAAGTACTCTTACCTGAAAGATATATTTTCGTTCCAGATAAAATGTTTGTAAATCACCCGATCAATGTTGATAGAGCCACCGTAATTGCCGACCATTGTGTTGTTTTGAATAAAACTCTTCAAAACTATCGACTGTTGATTGAATCTAGTGACAGACACCAAGTATGTACTTTCATTAAACAATGTATAAATTCTGGTAGGAGAAAAGACTATATCTCAACCAAAAAATCGTATATGAAAATATCTAGATATTTTATTGGGGGATTGGACAACACCATGCCCAATATATCTAGATGATCCAATAAAAGTGACACCTGTACCTAGATATTTTATAGTATGATTGCCCAATACCATAACAAAATATCTAGATACAACACCAGATTTCTTACTTGGACATGTGGTAAATCTAATAGCCAGAATCGGGTAAGATATTGCGTGATTTAGAGATATCGACTACTTTATTGACTTAACTAGCTTGGATGGTTCAGTATTCAATACTGTCTTTTGTACTTGTATCTAGGTACATCGGATATTGTATTGGGTTACCTAGATAGGATACTACTAGATGCTTTTTATTTGCTTCAGATTGACTGAAACACAGCGACAGCTAGTCTGTTCAATAAAATTGCTTCTTCTACTGCGTAAACTTTCTCATTAGGGGGCACGATTTTCGAGTAATGAAAGACCAGCCGGAAAATCGCCCAAAACGTTGAAATATATAGGCAAAGAGCCTTAATGAGAGTGTGTTGTGGTCTTTAAACAATGAAATGCGTGGGTACTCTAGTAGCAGTAATCTTCTACTTATTCGACAGAGCGCTTAAACTAACTTATCCAAATTTTTTGACATCTATGTATGCTTCAGATCAGCTGACGAGAAAAGTATCCCTCGCTTGCTCCTTAAAAAATACTTTTCTTAGGAAGTTTCTGATCCTGAACACGAAACTGATAATGATCCGTCCTGCTAAGCAGTTTTAAAAGGATCATATTTATCTGAAGTTCTGAGATGAAACAGTTCTGATGTGTTCAACACAGAGTAAGTCCAATAAAATTCTACATTCTAAAAGTGCTGTTTAGCACCCACAAATTCCGAAGAAAACAAAAAGTCAAGATTTTATACTGAATTAGAGGGCAAAAATTATGAAAATCTACGACAGATAATTTCTAAAGTTCAGAAAGTTTGTCCTGTAGGTGGTTCAGATTCTCCGCCTCAAACTTTTAAAGACTGATATTCAAGAACTACCATTCCAAATATCGCTTTCCAAAATTGCTAATCATGACAAGTTATCATCATATTTTCCATCAGTATTGAAAAATAACTGTTGGAAAAGGTATGTTGAGATGAATAGGCGAGGAAACCCTTCGTGCTTCGTTAGAAATGTTAGATGAATATTTTGTTTCTACAAAACTATTGCCTTAATCCAGTCGCAGTGCGAACGTGAAGTTATGTTTGACCGAATCAAATCATTTTGTACTATTCAGGTAGAGAGAAGCCTCCTTGATGCGGTCATCCACGAAGTAAGCACGCAGTGAAAGCTATGTTTGAGGTAATAGGCTACACTCTGAAAATAATCTATATTTTAAAAAGCTCTAACCGTTGCGCATTTTCCCTCCGAAATGGAAAAACGTTTATTAACAGTTTTCCTGAGCACTTAGGCATCATCCGGAAATCGCAGTCGCAGCGGATTCTTATATGTTAAAGTGTAAACGTGCATAATTGAGGGTGAGAATGAGGATGGAGCACTTCTCCACCCTCACTCGCCGCGAGTTCGTATATGTTAAAGTGTTAAAGTGTTAACACTTTAACACCGAATCCACGGTGACGGCGATTTCCAGATGTTATGAAAAGGTAGTTGGATTAATAAATTGTCAGGGTGTCACAGTTTGGATGAAAAATCCATTGGTTTTCTGATATGTCCGTTTGATTTTTTAATGAACCCAAAAGGACTTTTCTCGTTTAAAAAACCCGACGGCAATTCTCTTAAATAAAGAGGTTTATTGAAATACGGAAAAACGTATTTTAAGAAATGATGAGGGGATAAAAAATTGAATTATTCAAGCTATGAGTTGTAGTGAAGTTCAGTAAGCGGTTTTTTCCACTGGTCAGAATGAGAATACGTGTTATTTTCTCACTGATCGAATGCATAATACCAGCTAGTTTTCCAGTCAGTTGTATTTGTTAAGTTTTATCGTATTATTAGCAGATCAAGAGTCGTGTCATGTTGTTTTTCGACTTAGTTTATTACTTGAACGAGTCGTTGTTAGCATGCGAAGAGGCTCGGCGAATGTTTGATAGAAATACGCCTTTTTTCTTACTGTCGCGGAGATTACGAGATAAAAATGATCTTTCGCTACTTTCTTAGCGTTTCAGATTCTTCGAAGTTCAGAACAATGCAAATAACTTTCCAGTATTCTCCATGGCATTTCTACAAAATAGTCACATCTTATACTGTAGGCATTTGGGGGGGTTGGGCTGTAACAATTCTGTAGACGTACCCTCCGCCTTGCTTAATACTAAACCTGATAGCAGCACCTCACTGTTATTCTTCTGTTTCTGTAAAAAACTTCTATTCTATCTTTATCGTTTGCTCTCATTCTAAAGTGAGCCGAATTTGACATCAGCGTGAAACTTACGGGAGCGTAATGGTCAGGATTATTTATATTCTAGGGTGACCAATCAGCAAGCTACGTCTGTAGAAGAAGAAGAAGCTTGTATGGCTGAAAACATTTATTAATGATGAATGTACTATCAAGAAATTCAAAGGTAAACCCACAATTATATTTTTCTATCTCCTTCGCTAACGTCAGACAAACCCTTTCCGAACTGCTTAAAGCGTTCAGGAAACCAAAACCACGCCAAACGAGTAAAAGGTTTCGTAGATATGATAAACCCTTTCAAGTACACGTAAAGTGTTTGGGAAACTGAAACTACACCGAACGAATAAAAGGTTCCGTAGACGTGACAAACCCCTTCCGGAACGCTTAATGGTACTTTCGTAAACCTTTATTCGTTCGGTGTGGTTTCAGTTTCCCGAACGCTTTAAGTGTTTTTTTAAATACGGATTCTTTTTACAGTGTAGTGTTTCCTATAGTAAAAGCTAGCGACCTTGGTTGATTCAGACGAGTCTAAATGATCCAAAGACTTTTATTATGAATTTAGCGATTCTTTGTTCAACGAAAATCTCCCTCTTGTTCTCACAGGGTGTCATTGGTTCCTAACGCGTCGGTTTTGCACCATTTTTGTGATAGAAACGCGTTGGAAATGAACATGTTTATATGAACTCATATATCTTCACAAAGCGACGCGAAATCAAATGTTTTCATATTTTTTATAATCTACGTATACACTATTGTAAAAGTATATAATCGGTTTGGTGGCAAAAAAAATTCAATTTTTTAAACGTATTCTTGTGCTCGTTGTCTCAGGTAACAAAGTTATTTATACGATTCGGTTCTCTTGTTTATGAAGACTTCATTCGACTGCCTCAATACGTGATTCTCACTTTAGTCTATAAATTTAGTTTTCAGTTGCAGTGTTGAAGGAAATATTGTGAAGAACTCATCTATCCTATAACGTCCTTGTGAGTCACTTATTGACAATTTCTAGTAGAAACGTGCTAGAAATGAACGCGTTTAGATGCGTTTATTTTAACATTCACTAAACGCATTAGTTTCTAACACGCTGAAACGCGTTCAAATTTTAAATTTTAATGAAATTGAAATTCTGAATGCATTTGAACGCAACTTTAAATCTATGCAATTCCTACGAGTATGTCTCTCTATGGGAAGAACTTTGGATTAATTGATCACAAGTTAAGGAGTAAAGAAAGCAAGTTTCACTTACTGGATGGACGGCGTGTTGAAAATAGGTACTTGAAATTAAGAAGCAACACATAACAAGATATGTCAGAGATGATCGAAAGATGAACTTTATCATTAGTGTGTGTTTCGATCACCCGTAACTTCATGAAAAAGGCTTGTTATTTTGTTTGCTTCTTAATTCTAACCGCTGTGATTTGCCTTGCGGCTGTAAATAAAATTTCTGCACACGTCAGACGACAGACTGTTTATGCGATAGTTCGCTTTCAGCCCCCCCTCCTATTAGAAGACCACTGTCTATTATCTGACTTGAAAGCCAAACAGAAGACCACGGTCTTTTAATCCCTAGGAGACCAGTGGTCTTCTGTTATGTCCACCAAAAAGAGTCGAATGATGTCCTATAGGCTCCATAGGCAGTACGGATATATATCCCGATTTGGATATCTGTTTTTACAGCAAAATGTTTTTAATATCCCGAACGGGATATAGTTTGAAATTAAAACCTGATCAGGACATAATTCGATAGCCCGATTGAGATATTAAAACAGCTATATCCCGATCAGAATATCAAAACATTTTTATTTTTCACATTAGCATGTTTTCCATCAAATCTAATTAGTTTGAAAGGGGTATTGTTCTGCCAGGCAATATGAGTATAAATGAGTTGTAAGCAAGTTGTAATTCACTTACAAAAAATATAAAGCAGCTTATCTGCACCAATGCAGTTTTTGGAAAATTTTCTGTAGTTTTGCAGTTCGTCTGCAAAGATCAGGTTCGTGTGTTCGATTCTAGCTTCATGCAGAGATTGATTTTATGTTTTGATAGTTTAAGTTTCAGAATGACATAATGGGAATTTATATTCTCAATTTCGTTCTGGTTCAAGATTAAAGCTTAAACTAAAATTCTCTGTTAAACAAAAAGCACGTATCAGAGTTGTAACCGGTCTGGAAATACTAGACCGGTCCGGTCCGGCCGGTTTAAATTTTAGATCGGTCGGTCCGGTCAGTCATCGGCCGGTCGAAAAATATTTTCAGACCGGTAAAAGCCGGCGAGTTCATCAAGTTTTTTCAAGTAATAACTTTGATATAAGAGACAAACTTTTGTTCTGAATACCTACAGATTTTTACGCCTGTCTTTTCTGTAATGCTTATACTGGAATTCTAATACCAAAAAACCAGCCAATATTTTCAAGATTGAGTTTCTTCTGCATGGGATAAGATTCCTTCCCACAAAAATCGGTATTTAATTTCCATTTCTTTTGTTACTTCGTTTAAATTTACGCGAGAAAATGTATGTATACAATGTATACATACATTTTCTCGTGCATACTTCTATGCATACTATACATAGAAGTAATGAAGTCAAATGAATGGTAAAATCAAAAATGAATGGTAAAAAAAAAGAAAAAGAAAACAGATTGAAAGAATAAAAAGAAAAAATTTACGTTTCAAATAAAATTGTCACTCTCCCTTTCCTTTAAAAAAAACTACTAAGCGCCCATATATGGTATCTTTCTGATGAAAAATGAACGAATATGCACAACTTTGTGAAATCGGTAAAAACCGGCCGGTCCAATTCACTCAACCGGTTACAACTCTGGCACGTATACTTAAATATTGTCGACGCATGAGAAAATAAATGTGTGTTTCAATATATGCATCGAAAAGGAAGAAATAAAAAAGACGTGGAAAGCGATTAGATCAAGAGTATATCCCATTCTGAGCAATAAAACGTTAACCGCCAGTTTCTCGATCGGGATATAAATTCGATTAAAATTTGCCAAAGGTTTTTGTTCGAAAAAATAGTTGTTGGGTGCTTGATGCACTTTTTATCAAACACAACAGAATCCCATGCAGTTTTTCGAGCTCTTTCTAATGGTGATGCCAGTTTTTCCCCATAACGTCGTCATTTTTCCCTTAATCGTATTTACGACAAAATTTTGTGTTTTATATCCCGATTGAGATATAGATGTCCCCTTACTAATAGGGCAATTTTCAAAATAATTTCGCCAAAACGTTCTTCTAATAAATCTCCGTTTCGCAGTATATTAGGTTAAAAAAATGCCTGGCTGTGCTGCTGAACCTTTCAATTGGCTATTAAGCGTTTAGTCTTCAACTCACTTCATTAGGCACGATGAATGTGTGAGGTGGTGTGAATGGCCATACGTTTGTACGGAGCACGATAATAGAGAAATCAACTAAAAAAGAATTAAGTAGAAGAATTTTTGCAGTTGTTGTGCTTTTTTTGCATTACTCACGTGATAGCTGTCGTTGTTTTAGATATTGTTCAACCAAATCTCTACTCACAGTAATATCTTGAAACATTCGCTGTAATTTTGATGTATATTCAAAGCCACAAACGCTCTAAACAGAAGATTTTAGGTAACAAAAGTAGTATTTAATAAACTATACACTGATTTACTTTTAATTTGGATATCATATTTTCTTCAAGTTCATCCGATGCTGATACTTTACTAACTAAACGTTTCGCTAATAGTTTACCATAAAAGTTTTCAAACACATCTTTATCTTGAATATAGTTGAACACAATCATTATTTGATTTAAAACATCTTCTATTTCATTGTTAGCAGCTGTTTTTTCTCTGAAAAGAAGAAGAAAGACGATATTCTAAGTGGAGTTACCACATTAGAGCAGAAAATACAGTTACTAATTTTTATAGTATTATTAGATAAAAGATCGAGAATAATGAGTGGTATAACATTTCCTGGAAATTGAAAATCATGAATTTCGTAACTATTCATCTCAATTGCGATTTTGCTAACTTTACTAGTGGTTACGATCAAATTCGTTTGTCTGAATTTCATCCTAGTGGCGACAAACTCTATGACCGAGGCCTTAAGAGACGGTTAACCTGAAGTTCGGCTAAGATGGTCAGAAAAAAATTGATAATTTGTTTTTGTGACATACTGAGAAAGAATATCATGCTAAAATTTGGTTTCTCTACTCTTTTGTCGTGAAGTACCTTTCTCGTCCATACCAGTTGCACTTACGCTCTCGATGAAATTCTTATTTTCCGGGGTTGTCTTCAGTGACCAAACGTCTATAGTTTACTCAAGTCTTAAACGATAGATAGATAATGGTTTGTACTACGAAACGGTATCCTGCATTTCATTAGAGGTGCTTCAGCTAATCGCCTGTAGGGACATATCACCGGAAAAAAATAAGCATGATTTTAGTTGCTGAAAAGTGCTTTTTCGTATTCAGCACACTCGATAACCCAGAGACTTTTTATTTTTGACCAAGATACTTCCAAAAGTTTAGGAAAAATTTTCAAAGTAATATTATTTCTCCTGAAAATTTTTTTGCACCATTTTGTTTCAAAGTTTTTCCTAAACTTTCGAAGTAACCCTCGCTAAAAAGAGCAAATCTTCTGGGTTATTGAGCGTGCTGAACACGCAAAAGCACTTTTCAGTAACTCAAAACCAACTTTATTTTCTTGTTCTGATGGTATGCTATATCAAATTTTAACGTGCACTCATTTTTAAATTGAAGGCACAGGCCAAATTCTAAACCTTTTTCTTCAACAGTAAGTGTAATCTTACCCTTTTTTCATTAATATATGACAATAACTAGCCAACAATTGTGGTGTTTTTTTAATATTAATGCCTGTAACTGCGTTTTGATTGATAAATTTACTGCATGCTCTATCTAATGCGGTCAAAAACCCTCGGTCAGAATCAAATGATTCTTCAACCAATGTTAAATATTTTTTGTGCTGTTCAAGAATTTTTTCAACATATGGTTTCGGATCATCCTTTAGACAAGAAAGCATATAGAAAAGTCTTCGACCAAAAACAAGATATTTACATTATTGGTAGCTGTTTGTATACTGATATCCTCCATCGCTTCGAGGCCTTTCGAGTGAATGTGTTCCTCAGTAATTGATTTAAGTCCAGTAGTGGCATTTGGTACACGGCTGATTAATTTGAACAATTTGGCTAATGCTGCGGAAGAAAGAAAGAGAGCACAATTTACAAAAAGACTTTCCATGCTCACATAAATTTATCAACAAATTTAAGAAAGCAACCGTTACTTGGTCAGGAGGTAAAACCAACAACAAGAATGATGTGACAAACGGCCTTGTAAGAATTTCAAACCCTAACGTATTGCGAGATCATCTGACACTTTGCACACCTATTTCAGATGGAGTTCACGGCATCTCCCGTGTTCCTGGAACATGTACACAGCTTATACACGTTGTTTCTTCACCGTGATAGGCATGCATTCCTGTTTTCTTCTTCACTCCTCTCATCTCGCTTCGCCCTGCATTAATGTTTCTTAATAATAAGCTAGGTAGGCGTCAAATGTGTCTTCCGCTCACTCTCACTGCCCATTTCTCCCTTCCCCTCCTGCCATCAATGATCTAAAGCGTAAAAATGAATAGCTAAGCAGCCCATTTTCCCCACCTAATAATCATTAATGCACGGTAATACAATGGTTGGTGTCTCAAAAGAATACGTGGCAAGACATTTCTGCGCGCAGGGCCCAGACTCTTCCGCGAATTTTCATAGTGCACATTTTGGGTATTTTTGACAGCGTAAAGTGGGAGACGGGGATGTGGACAGCGTGGGAGTGAGTTCGAAAAGTAGTTTCCCATAAAACATGCTTTCCTGATGCGGTACTTTATATCTATAATTGTATCAGATTCTGGTAGAATTAGAATTGGAATTCTATCAGAATCTAAACAACTTTTAGTAATAGTACGTATCTGAATGTGTCGAGTTCTGCCAGTTATAGGAATTTCCATGGAATTGTAGTACTGGTCACTGCTGGCTAAATGTGAGTAAAGGCACTATCAAGTCGATTTCTTCCTATTTGCTATTTTTTCAGCAATCAGCCAATAAAGACTCTAGGTACAAACATTTGAAAATATTCCTGTGCAAATCTATAGAACGGACCATGCCGCACCTGGTATATGACTGAATAAAAATTCTCCAGTAAAGTAACTCACTTAGTTTGCATCAAAAGGATTGTCAAAGCCCACTTTTAGAAAACTAGAATAACTACCAGTTGAGTGGCTTTTTCAGTCCCACAACTATGTTTTTTCATTTTTAGAATACAATTTCTCAAAAACTCCGCTATAAAAAACCTGATAGAGCCAATACCGAACAGACCGTGGTATGTTGGCACAATTGCATCATGTTAGATCTAAGTGTCTTTTGTTTTTTGAGATCAAGTGCACTCCTTAATATTTCAATGAACCGAGAACGGTTGAATATAAAAAGAAGTTCCAAGTCCGGTAGGATTCAAAGCGGAAACGTGGAAATATTCCATATTTTTCTGATATCAGAAGGGAAATGTTGAGCCGGGTGAGGTCAAGCACTGTTGATCTGTTGTGGTCTTGATCATCTGTTTGAAGTTGTGGTCTTGATCATCTATTTGAAGTTGTGCTTTTATTACCTCAACCGTCTGAAGGCCTAACATCACGTACAAAAGACAGCCAGAAGAGCTCAGAACATGATAAAAAAGGAATTCAAGCCAGCTTTAGTTTAGGAAACCTATCTTTGCAAGGACCGTACAGACGTTCGAACCGAAAAATGGAAAGAACCTTATCCACTGCTAAAATTTAATACTCGATATAAAATCTCAGTTATTTTTGTGAAATATCCCATCAATCTAGTTTACCCTTACCTTGATTATTATCATTGTTTAACAATAATTTTGCTTCAGCATATATTTCTGTGAGATGATCTTTGATTAGAACGTTTTCACATATTCTTATTAATGAAGCCAATGATGATTGATGTAAATAAGTAATTCGACGTTCTTCTTCGTTTAAACGTGTTTCGACTTTTGACAGATAATCAGTAACAGAATTACTCATAAGAAAAGTGGCAGATTCTATTTTATAATAATGTTCAGTGGCCATCAAAAATTGTTTTTCAAAATATGTTTGATAAATATATAATGGTGATGCTTCATTGAAACCAAGTGTAACTGAAGAAAATGATCCAGTAGAATGTAACGAAAATAAATATCTTCGGGATATCTTCGAGAACGAAATGTGCTAGAGAGTTCCGGTTTTCGTCATTTCAAAGAAGAGGCTTTGGGATACATTTTACTAACAGATATAAATTAAAGAGTGCGAGTAAAAGCGAGACCTTGATTGTCAGCGGTTCGGGCGTGGTGTGCCGTTTCCTTGGAGCCCCAGAACTGGTATGTAGCGAGTTTAGGTAGTATTGAATTTTTATGGAACATACGTAATCGACCGCGCTGTCCGCTGGCAATGTTTGTTGTGGGAAAAGAATTCAAAAATCGAGTTTTATCAAAATTAGAGAGGACCGCAAATAGGAGCCGAACATTAGGGGGTGTAAACCAAAATTTCTATGAGGTAGTGTGAAATTGATAAAAAAGAATTGTGCGAGGAGTAATGGATAAAATAACAACAGTTTTTTCAATTATTCGGGGAATGCGCACCCTCCCGTTGTTTGCGCCTCTGAAAATAGGGTTTCCAGGCTGTTTCCACTTAGTATTAAAAAATTCACCATTCATTCAAAACACATCAAAACGGCTTCAAAGCCTCAGAATGTACAGTATTTAGGCAATTTGATCTCCTTGTGATCGAAAATCACAGAAGCTACTTTCCAAAAACAACTTTTAAGAGAAATTTTCAGTTCAAATCGAAGCTTTTGCTTATTACTCAAATCAGCAATAATGATTCGTTTATTGTATCCCTTTCCCCGTTGTAGACGAAAATAAGACTATTGATGTAGACAGAAAATGAAAACTTTAGCACTTCACGGATTTTCTCAGTTTCTGCAACACCGGTCAGTTGATTTTCCGTTTATAGAGAGATAGGCTGAAGTCTTAACTATGTGAAGAGAGCAGCACTCCTTTTCTTTTTTCTCATTCCCATTTTCAATATACCCATATTCCCATACCATAATTTGCAATAGCATTTGAAATCAGTCGACTTGGAATAACTTCATTGTTTCGTTCACTCTGAATCAGGTTTAAACAGGCATTTGTCACTTGAGTATTCACTGGTTCAAAGTAGACATGTTTCCATACGAACAGTGCCAGCTGAGAGAAAAGCAAGAGACCTGGAGACAAGTTAAGGAACTATCAGAACTTACTTCAAATACTTCATAAATCGATTGTTTTTCAGCTTTCGATTGGTTTTTTAGTTCTCGTGCGACCCAATGTCTGTTTATATATGAAAAAATACCATTTATCACTCGACTACAAAACTGATATTTAATCCAATTCTCACAATAAAGACTGAGTACAGTATATTCATCTTGACGTTGACAGTCATTCTACAGAACAAGAACAAAAGTCAACAAACCATTCTCTCAACCAGGCATTGAGAACATACTCTTCTTAAGTTTTGCAAATAATCGCTTAAAGACTGTTTCAATCTCATGTATAGTTTTTTCCCAATAACATTTGCTCCTTCGCCATCATCACTATTTCGCTGAACTACTGGATTAGGGCGAGAACCGGCTGAATAGTTGTTGACATTCGTACAGTAATCGTAAACGAGCGAGTGCAATTGCATCCATTTATCAGGTTGCATCGTTTCATAATCAAAAACCATTTTGATACCAGTTGCAACGTGCGCCCAGACATCTTCAAGTTCAACATTTTGCTTTGTCGACATCTAAAAAGTTATTTAAAAGTGATAAAAACACAGGAGCGACTATCTTGAGGGACATTTGTCTGAAATAAAAGTAAGGCGGGCCATTTTTTGCTGTAGACATTCATTTTACAGCGCTATCCTTTAATAGCCGCTACGTTGTCTAATTTGATACATTCCTATAAACTAGCGACACACAATGCGTCGGCGACCTGATAAATAAGTGCTTCATTTCTTTTTTGTAAAACAGTAATAACTCCTCATCCAAGCCCAGCAGCGAACGAACGAATGATAGCGGATTTCCAACCGATCTGAAAATAAGAGACCGGACCGGGCTGGCCGGTCCAAAACAGCGGAACGGACCGGACCTGCCTGAAAAAATGTTTAGACCGGTGAAAAAACGGCAGAAAGCCGACCGGTTTTCAAAGATTTTCTAGAGAGACAAGAGATCAGAAAAACTCACTTTTTTTTAGAGAAAATTTCTAAGAATTTCAGAACCGGCAAAAAACTGGTCAATCACCGGTCGGTCTGAAAATCTTTCTAGACCGGTGGAGACCTGCCGGTCTAAACTTTTACAGCGGAACGGACCGGTCCGGTCGGTGACTGGCTCGGTTACAACTCTGGATGATACAACGGCGTCCTGAAAACCTACTGAACGGGTGTTCAAACCGATTTCGAACTAGTTCCACGGCCATCTGGAACGGGATTCAAGAACTGCACCCGTTCAAATGACTTAAGAGACAGTCCGTGAGAAAACCGCGTTTTTCTGACATACTTTCCACCTCCTCAATTTCAAAATTCGTTTTTGATCACAGATTCTGAAAGAACGTATACGATTTGGTCAGAAAACTATTAAAA